CCACGAACCAGCATTTCGAGCGCGAACTGGCAGACTGCTAGAAATTTGCGCTTACACACACCCAAGTGGCGGAATGGCAGTGTGCAACTGTTCCCGACATCTGTTTCACAGTCTGCGTTTCGAACCAGGCTTGCCGTCACGACTGGGCTATTTTAGCAACATTCCAGCACCGTGCGCGAACTACACTTACCCCACAGGCTCCTATCGACCACTGCAGTCCCCGCAAGAACTACCATCGAGGCCTCGACGTAGTCGAAACCAGTCACTGTAGTCACCAAAGCAACAATAGCCCGGCTCTAGCCACCTTGCTTTGAATGGCATAATCCGTAACGCAAGTGTCAAAGTTCTGCCGCTCTAAATACCAATTATCTATAGAGGCAATGACATCACAGAATGCAGAATTCGAGTTATTATTCACACCAATCCAGCAGTACGAAAATCCTTCGCGTATTTAAAGTAACCGATTGTGTGAATGCCTCTCCTATTTACTGCTAACAGTGCGTGCTGAAACTCGATTAATGTAAACAGGATACTGAAACCACGCATCAATACGACTAAATCAAGAAACGAACACTCGAAATTTCGAGCCATCGTAATTATGAAATCGGCACAGTGTGCGAATTGAATGCAAGGGTAAAACAAGCGCATAATCGGGATGAGGCATTGATTAAGGGAAAGGAAAGAGAGTAGAGGGAAGGCGTTGGCAAAATCTCAAGAAAGATATTCCATGCCATCTACATTGACATCTAGGAAGATACAATATAAAAAAAACATAAAGAGCATGTCATCAGAAAAAATAATGGCGCCGTAATTGGATTGGACCAATGCTGAGATGTACACTTCACCGATGTCCTCTGGAGTCGGACGATTCTACATTTAGAGAAATAACCAATATAGGACATTAGGATCAACAACGCCCAAACATTCCACAAAAGTCGTGTTGAAACATCACAAATTAGGATTTCAAGAGCTGGTGAAACGGAAGTAGGTCTTGATGGACAACCTTCCATCAATTTCGCACATATTTGAACTTCGGTTCATATGATAATTTAAAAACCTTTAACATTTATAAGACGCTAGTTGACATAACCTATTTCAAGAGTGGACGAGCAGAAAAATTCAAGTAGAAGAAGAAAGTAACTGCTAGCTTAAGTTCTGACAGAGCTAAAGTTAAAGAATTCACCTATGTGAAGGGAGCCGCCGTCAATTGTTCGGGATCGGGAGTTATCAGATGCCTCTGATTTGACTCGTCCAATTGAGTGAAAGTTCCTGGAAGAAAAATCGACGGAAAAAACAAAGTTGAGGACCAATCGCACATCTCATTCACTGCTAATGATCCCTCCCCTCATGTGTACTTAAGGACATCACCTGAGGAAACCATTTTAAATAAAGGGATTCAAAAACAGAAGTAGAATGAGGAAGGAGGGAAGCATACCATTGAAAACGTTACCGGTCGACTTTGTCAAACTCCCATCTCCAGAAGATGACAAAGACGTCGGACCAGTATTCACATGACTCCATCCCTGATATAAGTCAGGATTATCCGAAATTATGACCTGTGTTGGCTTCTGATGTGGCTCTGGTGTGTAGAGTTCTGAATCCGTTGTGGTACTTCCCCGAAAAACTAGCGGCATCCCTTTAGGATGACGTGTAAAGACAGAGAGATTTCATGATTAAGAAATAAGAGTGCGATATTTAACAATATAAGCAAAGATAAATACGGCGACAAAAATGCTCAGCTCTCAAGCTTTGAATAGAATATAACTGTCAGCACTCAAGTGCCAGAATGTAGGCTAATAAGCACGAATAAGATAATTTGGTAATTTCTAAGAAGAACCGAAGATTAAATCCCGCAGCATCCAAAGAGGAAAGAATTTGACAATAAATAGACAGCAGAGGCTACTGCTCACTTCTTTTGCTAGTAGGAAGAGGAGATGGGATAGTTGGATCGAAGGACTTGCAGCCATCTCCAAAGGCAGGTGGTCGGTTTGTGCGCAAAGTTCCCAGATTCAGCCGCTGGAGAAAAGTAAAAAGTGTAATTTTCTGTCGAGTAATTTAATACGCAGACTCAGACAGTTGCCCCTGACGCGATAAGATATCGAAGTCGATTCTCAGTATTAAAAAAGGCCAGTTGCTTATTTAAAAGCAATAATTACAGCATTACTTTCTTCAATGAAGGAGAGGAAAGTGTTGGGAATGCCAAAATGGCAATGCCAACATCACATGATGCAAGACCTTGTCAAAAATCGAATCGGATCGCGTTTCGCTGAAGATATGGGTAAACCACATAGACGAGAACGGAATTAAAGTCAGAGTAGGGGTCAGACAGTAGAAGTTTGTCCTAACCATTAGCTGGAGTAGATTATAACTACTAAGCATATTCAAAATGGACAAACAATCGTCACTTGTTGGCAAAAGAGAAACATTTTGAATCGGCAATAAATGTGAATGCAATATCTCCACCCTGCAGAACACTATGGACAAGATTGCTGCTGTTATCTTCAAAGTGAAAAACGATTATTTTTCTAGATAGAAACAGGAGATAGGAGGAAGCGCACAAGCCCCGAGAGTAGAAGACCGTTTGTAGGTGGAACGCAGTGCATGAAAACAACGTCAAATAAGGTAAACTTTCAGATTCGCATAGGCTCCTACGTATGTACATGGATAACACATGATTTGTGACGCTTTAGTGGCTGCGTTTGGCTGTGCCTTCTTGCGGGCACAGCTTTTGGGCAACAAAAGAGATCCATACACTTAGCTTCCTGATGTAATCACTTTACTTCGTCAAAATAAGCCAAGGAGCATTCTAGGCGTTTTTAAAATAAACATACGATGGATCCCTTCAGCAACTTTGCCAAAACTTCATCATGTCGTAGGTTAAGCTGAGAAAGACTGACCTTCCTCGGGAGTTTTTTAGGCAAGGTGTCCGAAATCGATGGAGCCCCAGTGAGAGTTAAATCAGTGAGAAGCACAGACTTTGCACCTTCCTCCGGATTAAGCTCCCCATCCGTGTCCATTTTTAACGGTGATGTAGGTTCAACCGCTTCAACGGCACAATCTGCTGCTGGGAGAGGGAAAGGAGACAAACTATCTACTGGTAAGACACAATGAAACCGACATTCGACATAAATTTCAAAGGCTTAAGACAGGTCAAAAGACAAACCTCGGGGAAACGAGCCAATATTAATTAAACGAAAAGCTATTTGCCCATGGGGTGTTTGTGAACGAATGTCAAATCAAAGCCGTTTTATATTACAGCAAAGTAATGCCAAATTCAATTTTAAAAAATGAATGGGAAATAGTGGACTGCTTTGGATAATAAAAAAATAAAGAGTAAAGAACAGTCCTGAAAATTCATCACATGAAACCTGCATGCCTCGTAAGTAATGAGCAAAGTGGAAGCATTCTTGGAATTTTTCATTGAAAATTTCAATAAATTTTAAAAAAGCTAGGCTATAATGGGCCAAGTGTCTAAGCGCTAGCTTTTTCAAAAATGTGCAAGGCGCTACCACATCCACCAGCGGCCGGCAGATTAAGAAACATGAGTTCGGATGATAAACAGAACAAAGGAAGCCATGAAGAATAGGGGGACAAAGCCCAAGCCACGTCTACTCTACGGAAAACAAAGACTAATATGAAATACATTTCATTGGTTTTATGACACAGGTAAATAACATTGCGATTCACCCAATTCCGCTTTTCGCACAGGCGTAAGAATAATTATTAACCACTAAATTGAAGGGAGAAAGTGGGAAGTAATTTAGCACAATTAAGGAAAACGGGAAAAAAACAATGCCTGCGCAAATATGAGTTTTCGGTTATTCCGTAAGTTGTTGGAATTTGTCATTCCAGAAGACAAAACGCAAAAACTCACCGTAATGATGAGCGTAGTTATTTGTTTGATGCTAAAATAAAGAAAAGTCCATTTCATTCCTTACATGTGAGCAGTGATAACAAAATGCTCTTGTCTTACGTGCCGAATGGCTCAGCTTCGGTAATGCAATCAACAAAATAGGAGTTTCCATTAATAACTATGCTTTGCAGATCAGCAAAACATCGTCTCCTTGAGTGTCGCAAGTGGGAATGTATCAAGAACGGCACCAGCGTGCTACATATACTTGGAAAATGTGGCAACATACGAGCGTACCAATTCTCAATCATTAACCACACATTCAGTTTTGAGGAACGCGCTACAGTTTGCGTTGGTTTGCTGATGGTGATTTGATGGATCGATTAATGCAGATACTCGACTAAGCTACTTGACTAACGGGGACGCTGGACCAATCAGCATCCAACACTTAAGCCCACCAAGAACTCAAAGCTCATATTAGTTTTAAAACACATTAGGGTGAATATCCTAAAGTCTTACAAACTGTACACCAATCTAAGCGGAGAACTAAAAACAGTTCAACTATTAGAATATCGCATTCCTATGAAAGGATGGAGATAACAGGCAGAAACAATATATTAAGCAACGCGATCATTATGGAGATACAACCTTTTTTACATCGAAGACTATATGCCTGAAAATAAGATAGTTAAAATGCAATAAAAGATGATAGATACAATTCGAGATGAACGCCTATTTGATTGCTATGGACTATCATATTATGAGTAACTCGACTATTAAACCTGGACAACTTGGTTAAGAGCTAATGGAGATTGGCCCAGCTCCTATTTAGGACGCCTACAAAATACTTCTTTTCACTAAAAGGCGTTACAGAAAAGAATAATCCATGCAAAATAGCTTTGCACTCGCCTGAAACACATTTGCATCTTCTTCAGTACCATCTGTTGGATAGAATGGCTTCAAGTGAGGTCTCACCCCGTGCTGGGGAAGTCCGATTTGAGCTAACTGATCATCATAGTCCGCAGGAGCAGCAATAGTGGTGGTATTAGTTGAAACAGTAGAGGGAACTAGTGATTCATTATCCAGTCCTCCATCATACTCGCTAGCTCCACAATCACAAGTCGAAGGATACTGTTGATTCAACGACCTGTCTTCGGATTGTGAGGACTTTGATTGTTTCTTCTTTTTACGGCGCTACAAACATCACAAAAGTGATCAAAGCTTGTATGGATACAAAATGCATTAGAAAAAAAGGGCGTCGAAATGTTCCCATAACTAAAGCTATCAAATATACTCTGCACAACGACTATAAGCTAATTAGAATAAAAGCGCAAACGAAAAGTTGAAGTAAATGGAAGGATAGAACTTGAGAAATAAACTTCAAAGCTATCATGAAACATTATTTAATGAATCTTTCTGAAGATACAACCAGAATAAAAAGAGGAAGTACCTCTATGATATCCTGGCTAGTCATGAGCTCTCCACGATCCGGTCGATCATTGTATTGCTTCACGACGCTACTCAGATCATGACTGGCAAACATGTGCATGCGATTCTTGTTAGTGAGGATGAGTATTGCTACCTCGCATTCGCATAATTCACTCAGTTCAAAAGCTTTGTTAAAAAGACCCACTTTCCGCTTCGCAAATGTAACAAGAAGTGTTTTTTCGTCACTGATTTTTTTAATATCAATCTTCTTTCGACCCATTTTAACACAGAACTTAAAAATAAAAAAAAGGTGCCGTTAAATAAGGGCTGATTGCTCGGTCTGATGCTGAAAGAGAAAGTCAGGTGCGGTTTATTGCCAACCGACCCAAAATGCAGGTACGACAAATATAAACCATCCAGTTCTTCCGAATGACATAAAACTTTACACAACAGAGTCTCGAAACGGAATGCATTACATTAGAAACAGGAATCTCTGCACAGAATCAAAAGAATCGCAGCGTACAAAGGAACAAACTACTGTCAATATCCTCGCATTATTTTACAAATAATAGGCAAGATGAAGTAAAAATCTCCAAATATATTAGGAGGCTAGTGTCTTGGAATGGATACTAGCGCAAAGTGAACAAAAGGAAAACATCACGTTACGCGAGGTGAATTCGATGCTAGTAATTAATTACTTGTCAGTACCACTCAAAGTATTGTGCAAGCAAACGACCCTCAGAATGATTCGGAAATAAAGTACTAACGTTGCATATTCCAAAGACCAAATTGTTTGTAAACGCAAAGATGTAGTAATGAAAAGTAGAGTGATTAGAGGCTATTTAAATATAGTGAAAACACTTACTAAAAATACACATCAAACAGCCAAATATAAATAGAGCGCAGAAACGAGCACACAGCACAAATGCACAACCAATAGCGCACAAAACTAAATACTTTAAACAACTAAGAGCGGCCTTTAGAGGAAAACATATTGGTCATTTAAAACAAATCACAGCACTAGACAACTTCGAATCATGTCTGCATTTATATCCCTATGGAAAGGTTTCTTACGGTTTTAACATACAAAAGCAATGTCAAGCAACATTAATAAACAATGACTTACCGATAAAATAAACTAGATTTAGCTAAAACGTAATCTAGATTTGATCTCATTATTCATCAAATCGCACCAATCTAAGGGGAACCGAAGACACTTTATCCCACGAGGGCTCGCCAGAACAACACACGGCACCACCACCTCCCACGAGACCCAATCCGCAGCAGATGAACCCAACGAACTCAATTGCCGCATGCAGAGCCAGCTCCGGTCGGCAAAGAATTGACAACCACCAGCAGCACGGAAACACCACCCCATCCAATAGCACACCACCAAGTGACACTATAAGGTAGGTTCCAAAAATACACTATTCGATGGGATGATAAAAAAGGATGAGGTAACGAAAGCCAAGTTTGATCTAGGTACGATCAGCGTCTGATGAAGACGATGAAGGCGATGGGGACGAACAAGTGGAAGTTCGAGATGACGATGAACTACTACTACAGCTACTGCAACTACAGATATCCTCAAGAGTAATTTTAGAGTGGATTGAGGGTGAAGCAGGCGGTCTGGACAGGTTGTAAACCTCCGCCTCTGATACGCGACTCATTTCGGACATTTCTGACACATTTCCACTTGGAGGACTCCCAGAAGATGGCTTTGGTTGGGTAATAGTGTCCCTGGTTCGGAGAGGTCGACACTGCCGACGGACACGCAGCGTTCGCCTCTTCCTTTTGAAAGCTCCGTGAGGTGGATCCGACTGTGCCATCAAAAGAGGATTGAGCATACCTTCCGGCAGAGCCTAAGTAATAATATAAACAAGCACAATACACTGTATGCAAACCAAAGCACTTAACCCCCTTAAAAATGCATAGAACCATCACGAACGCAAATGCTGATAGAGCATTTAAGTACCTTGACCTAGGATGGTTGCGGGCAAAAGAACCAACCTTCCAGAGGAACTTAAAATGAACGCACAGGGATAGGTGCCTAAAAGTAGCACAATAACCACGGACTAGCAAGCAAACCTATTACCTGCAGCTAATCACTTCAGAAAACAAAAAGGTAGCATAAAGTCAGATGTATGACCAGTAGACGCACTCTATTAGCAACGAGCTTATTTGACTTCCGTAAAATCCTCCCAAATTCATTAAGAAAGTTTTTAGAAAAGGCCAGTGAGCCGCTCTCATAGGAAGTTGCAAGAACTCGATTCATTCGATGCTTTATCCGACGATGCATTGCAGCCAGAAGGTCAGCAGCATGCCTAAAGTTATCCCACGAGTGAAGCAGCACCGGATCTACCATAAGTTAATGGAAAGGTACTCCTCACCTTGATACACTTTAATTACAGCCTCAAGTGTTTCATTACGATGAATCTCTATCGATTTTTCGTAAAGTTCAGATTCCTCATTTACCAAATCGGAGAGTGAAAACTCTTTTGTACAAAGACGTTTGAAAGGCAGACGAAAATCATCACACATTTCATCAAACCAGCTACAACAATTACTATCGGAAAACTCATCCCCACTACTCATCCTTACTGCTCATCACAATAAAATCGGCTGCTCTATCAATTGAACATTAACCAATCCGAAGGGAGCCGGTTAAATGGTGCGATTAGCAAAGAACGATTACCAGTTCATAAACTCAAAAAGTTAAGTGATTGTTTATGCTGCAGAATTTCTCAATTATCAGTCGAAAGTTGCTAAATACTGGGACAACTCTGCATAATTCTTTAATTATAAATGGCTTTAGCCTATTCCTACAAATTATTTAAGGCAAATATTTAGAGCCTTACTATTTTATTTTAAGTACAGGAAAAAAACATCTAAAGGCTTGAATTTATAGAGCGTATACAAGGTTTCAACATTTCACATTTATCTCACGAGTAACTAGCAAGACCGCAGGCTTCGTTTGCTTGAATTTGATAAAAATCCAACAAAATTTCATTAGTTTAGTTTAACACTCATACAGCTTTTTCCTTCCTTACTCTTTGAGTCTCCTTACATGCTTTCTCAGGAGACTGTTTACTTAGTGTTTATTTGGTGTGCAGAAACATGGAAATGGTTGGTGTCTACTATGGTTCAAGAGTAGAGTTCGCGAGTACGAAGTCCAATTGACTTTACGCATCTCATTTACAAGACCTAGTTGTATCAATTGATTTGCATTACAGATATGTCTTTAGCGGTCACATTAGTCTTGTAAGTAGTCGAAGGCATAAGAGTGGTTGGAGTGGTGTTGGAGACTAGTCCACCTACAAAAGCAATATCGCTGAAAATGTGACAGTGTCCCTTTGTTTACTAGACTGATTTATGGATGACGTTTGTTTCGGCAACCATCTCGCTTTTGATACATGAAGCGGCCTTCCGGCTAGGCCATGACCTAGTATTAAAAATTTATCTGAAAATAAGTGTTTAGCCAAGCCAAGTGTCTTGGGATGCTGCAATGACCTTCACTTGCCAAGCCAACCGATCATGCAAAATATTACAATGACTCAATGACTCAGTCCACTTAACACCCTTTAGGGCGGCACGAGAACATCCTGAGACTTCTTCGCACATAAAATAGAACATAGTATCTAGATTAAGTGCATATTCACACAAGTTATGGGAGTTTTGTGTAAGGTTTCAAGACTTCCTATTAGGCAACGTTTAATAAGAGAGGAGTTGATGACGTGGAACCTTGTTTTATGTCTGTGGACCGGCCCAAGGCAAAGCAGGATGAACACGAAGTTGGTTAACAGTAAACTTTAGTCTAGACCGGAGACAAGCGTCTCAAGCCACCGTAACCCATGTCAACATTTAAGCGGAATATTGCATGATTGCTTTTTGTATGCGACTCCGAATCTGGTTGTCAGATCGAACTAACCCCAGGTCCTGTTGAAGCTTTCGAGGTGACCAAATACGATGTCTCAAGTTTATACTATCTGTCAACGGGCGCGGTTGACTTGCGGGAGCTTTTTCGTAGTATCGAATGTGTTGTGATAGCTGGTGCGGGAAGTGTACCAAGGGGAGCGCCGAGGACCTTGCTGAAAAGAAGAGAAGGGCAGTGTGATGTTTTGGTTATGTGAATACTTGAAGTTCGACGGTCTCTTTAATGTTTGTCCGACCCTTGCACGTGTGGGCTGGCCTTTGGGCCATGCCCATCCCCTTTGCTCTGTCCTCTTTTGAATACAAGTATCCAGCCCCACTCACTGCCTTCTTCCACACTATGGGAAGTCTCGAGAGGCTGCAGCTTTTGGTCAACATTGCGACGATTCACTTGATTAAACTTCCTTGTCTGGTGCACCAGCCATTTGCACCAGACATCAACACCTACTTTGCTAAGAAGAGATACTTGGCCCCAAAATTACTGATCCTCCTCAATATTTTCAACTTAACCCATGTTTTCATTTGGTGTAGAAGAGAAGTGAAAAGCCAGGAGTTCTATGGACTACAATATTTATTTAGGTCTAGACCGTACAACACCAATATGAGAAGTCATTTTACGTGAAAATTCGTGTCGCCTATACCAATGTACATTTGCCAGAACAAAAATCCTGAAAAAAATTTTCTTAAATAGTTAGCAGCCAGCATCGATTCCAATACTTAAGCTTTAGTATGAAACATAACAATAGGTTTGATGCCAAAATTTGAGCCTTCTTCATCCCAATCGTTGTGGGAAATATCAAATAGCTGTCCTTGTGTCGTAATCACAGCCAATGCTTCATAAGAGCCTGCTATAAACAATAGGAACAGAAAAGAAATTGTTTAAAAGTCGAATTTCGATTCTGATACGGCCAACACTTTTTTAGATAGAAGAAAGTACTGTACTATAATGGTAGGTAATGAAAAATGATGAGGTATTTTGCGTGGCACAGAAGCTACTTTATTCATCAGAAATAGTATTCACGCTGATGCTGACAATCGATAGCAGCAATCAGACAAGCAAAGATTTTAGACCCAGTGCTCTAGAAGGAAACATATTATCAGCCATTGAGAATGGAAGGAACTTTGTTTGGGTCACTTCACTGGGAAAAAGAGGTACAGCCACCCAAATTACCAAAACCATGGCGAGTGTTCGAGAAATGATGCAGCGGAATAGCACTACTACTGCACTTATTCGTATTCATATATGGTTCACTCACGTATTACCCTTTTTAGTCTGCAAGGGAGTCTAAAGTCAATACTGCATTTTGTTAACGTACCTAACCTTGTAAGAGCGGATGTAATACTGGTAGTTGCATTAGTAATTAGCATGATATTGTTTCAAAGTAACTACGTGTGATCAGCCCTACTTTCGACTGCATTTGATTTACTAAAAAGTGACGGAAATTGATTGAGCGTGCTAATTGATTTGCAGGGTCTCGTGACTTATTGTGAAGCAAACATACATTAAACGTCCGCGCACGGCAACCGGTCACATAGCCCAGCCAAGTCGAAACGGTTAAAGTGATAACCACACCATAATGCTTTGTTTGTGTGACCGCCTGCCGTTCGGAGGTCACCTTAAGATTTCCCGGCCCTCGAAAGTGGGGGCTGGCCTTTGGGCCATGCTCAGAACTAATTAATTTGCTCTCCATGGAATCCATGTATTCAACTCAACTTAATACTTCCTCTACCTGGTGGGAAGTCTCGAGGTGCTACACGCCCTAGCATACAGAGGGATGCATGCAGAATGGATAATTAAGGATATGGGTAAAGGTCAATCCACATAGGAGCGATTTCTGTCGTCCGAAACCGGAGGATATTCCCTCACTATATGAGGTCCTATGAACCACACAAAATGTCTCCACTACTCTTGACCAGCTAATTTAAAAAATTCGCAAGTTAATGAAGGAGAAGTGTAAGCATTAACTACTTAAGCCATTCATAGATATTTTTGTCGTAATGTACATACATAACTAACCAATAGTTTATAACAACTTATAATTTGTGAATAGATATTGTGTCAATGGCTTATTATTATTGCTTAACGTTGATTATTTTCATATTAGGTAATCATAAATTGGTTTCAGCCGTCAAAATCAAGGTCACTGTTGTCAACTAGTACAGTCAGCGCCATTTATAGGTGGGTGCGTACGTGACTCCTTTCTAACCTTTTCGTCTTCGCTGTTTTAACCCATTAAGATGACTCTAAAGAAGTTGAGTGTAACGAACGTCGATGTTAAGGGGAAGCGCGTGTTGATGAGGTCTGAGTTCGCTTACACTAGCCTCTGTTAGGGTTGACTTCAACGTTCCCATGAAAGATGGCAAGTGCACGAATACTCAACGAATTGTTGCTGCCGTCCCAACAATTAAACTTGTCCTTGACAATGGAGCCAAGAGTGTTGTCCTGATGTCGCATATGGGTCGTCCTGATGGCCATCCTGATATGAAATATTCATTGCAGCAAATCGTCAAGGACGTGGAAAAGGAATTGGGAAAACCTATTACTTTCTTAAAGGACTGTGTAGGTCCAGAGGTCGAAGCAGCGTGCAAAAACCCTGCACAGGGAACGGTTTTCCTTTTGGAGAATTTAAGGTTTCATGTAGAGGAAGAGGGCAAAGGAGTGGATGCCAATGGAAACAAGGTACTTGTATCACCCACTTACTAACTACCTCGATTTCCGCTCCATCTTCTAGACTTCTGTCTAGTCTTCTGTCAAGACTATTGGCTTTTCTTTATCACGAACTTCTAGATTAAGGCGGACCCTGCAAAAGTTGAAGAATTTAGCAGGAGCCTAACTGCTCTTGGTGACGTTTATGTCAACGACGCCTTTGGAACGGCCCATCGTGCTCATGCGTACGTTTATAATGCTCTGGTTATTCAGTGATACTTTCTACTATCTCCTAACCCTACGTGCATTTTCAGGTCAATGGTTGGCTGCAAACTTCCACAAAGAGCTGCTGGTCTCTTGTTGGACAAGGAACTTGAATACTTTGCGAAAGCACTTGAGAGTCCAACTCGTCCTTTTCTTGCTATTCTTGGAGGGTATGTTAAAGCTCTTTCATTTTTTTATTCTCTGTAATTGGTGTCACATTTTTCATTTTATAGTGCAAAAGTAACAGACAAAATCCAACTCATTAATAACATGCTGGATAAAGTGGACGAGCTTATTATTGGTGGTGGAATGGCCTTCACCTTTCTGAAGGTGCTCAACAATATGAAAATTGGCAAGAGTCTCTTCGATGAAGCTGGCGCTAAGACGGTACCTGAAATCATGCAGAAGGCCAAGGTGAAGGGGGTAAAGGTTCATCTGCCATCTGATTTTATCACTGGCAGCAAATTTGCCGAGGATGCCGAAGTTGGTACGGCCACGATCGAGTCAGGCATCGAAGATGCTTTAATGGGTCTTGATTGCGGACCAAAGTCATCTAAAGAATTCACCGATGTAATTAGCCGAGCCAAGACTATCATCTGGAATGGCCCAGCCGGTGTCTTTGAATGGCCAAACTTCGCTAATGGTACCAAGGCTGTCATGGACGCTGTTGTAGCTGCAACCAGCAACGGAGCTATCACCATTATCGGTCAGTCTTTTGCACTCGACGTACGAAGTAGATCTTGATGTACTGCTCTTTCAGAGCATAAGTGATTTCTTTCACTTATTTCAGGTGGTGGTGACACCGCCACTTGTTGCGCCAAATGGAACACTGAATCGAAGGTCAGCCACGTAAGCACTGGAGGCGGTGCCAGTTTGGAGCTGCTTGAAGGCAAAGTTCTACCTGGCGTGGCAGCTCTCTCGGACGCCTAAAAAAGCGTTTCTCTTGCTAATCTCCACACTGCCTAGTTAATTTTCTCATCCATTTACATTTTTCTGTTTTACTGAGCTAACAAGTTTTATTGTGGAGAGTAACAAGGTCGTTACCAACCTTACTTTGACACTTCTCTCCAGTTCAATGGGTGCCATTAGCTATAGTTCTTCGGAGTAATGAACCGAGTTTCGCCGTGTGCACATTGAATGGGACGCAAAAGCAGAGATAATGGAAACGAGAGATGCATTATAACAACCGATTCGATTCGTAGGGAACCGTCTATGAAGCAGCAATCCAATAATAGTCTGACAATAGGAGCCAAATAGGGGAAATGCCATGATTCTGCCATGGGCCATGATCAGTGCCTGCGTTATTGTCAGTGTGTGAATGGATATCAATGGAACAAACATTGAATAAGTTGGGAGCATCCAGATGGTGGGTGGTGGGAGGTTATATTTGGCGCAGGATGAAGCCCACTGAGATCGCGATAAAGTGCGATGATTTGGCCATCCTCGGGAAGACAGCAAGAGGGCATTAAGATTTCGGATGAAGGATCGACCAGTCATATTTGGTGGAGGGAAGAGCGGAGGAGGGTTGGCGCGACTGTGGATCAGCATCAACTTGTGACGCCATCATTGGGGAGAAGCCAGTCGCTCGTGACTGATAGGAGTCCCGACGCGTACACTGAATCGAGGTCGGTTGCGTGGAGATCGGGTAGACTCGCATTCCTGAGGCAGAGGTCAGGTGTTGGCTTGTGCTGACGACTTCGCCATCAGCAGCAAATTGCTGTTGCTGCTGCTGTTGGAGGGCAACGTGCAGATCATTTTGAAGTTGATTCATACGTGAGTGCTGCTCAATCACCTGAGCTGTCAACATCTGCAACAACGACAACGTGGAAATCGCAAGACATTTTAGTCATCAACTAAGTGACAACTCCGAGAAACCATAAGAATAGAACAATAGAGAAGCATACAAAAATCACTCAAATCTAATGCCATTAAGTCATCGAATTTCCTAATTCAAAAATGAGATGCCTGAGTACAGGAGAACTCTCCCAAACGTCTTTCAAACAACTTGGCAAACAAGTTCACATGAACACTCATCCAAAAATATCTAAAGCGTCTTAGTGACATGTAAAATGTGGACCTATAACGAAATCTGCATTAATCGAAACGGATAAATCGAAAATGTGCATCAAGGAGTAATTTGCTTCGCACAAAAAGGGCATTTTAGATCGACCAAGCGTTTGCCCTGTACCGTAGACATTTGCTTGCCATGATATAAACGAAAGCATTGAAGACGGTTTCATAACGGGAGTGAAAAACGCAAACAACATGGGCTACACAAGACAAAAAACCACAAAAGGGGCACACTACAAGCAATCCTGGTGGTTATAGACAAAAGGCTGTACAAAAATTAAACGCTAATGACAACAGAAATAGCAAGGAGACGGCAGCTACGACCTGAACTTGGTCCAAGGCTTTCTCAAGGGATGGTGAAGATTTAGCATGCAGAGTGGGCGTAAGAGGAGCTGGCACTAGAGGCTGGGCAGAAGAGAGCCCACTAACACTTTCTGATGGTCGAAAAGATGGTGCAGGTGAGAAGAGAACACCGGTAGAAATGGGGAGAAAGGATTGTTGTGAGCTGACGAAAGCTGTCCTGCTATGCGAAGAGACCGGCCAATCTGAAGTGGCAGCATCGGCGATGGAAGGTAGACGCTGACTAGCAAAGAGCATAGAGAGAGCCGAACTGAGGCGAGCATTTTCCGAAACCAGTAGTCGACAAGTCTGTGTCAGTTGCTCAACTTTGAACTCGAGATTTGCTATTTCTGTTGACGGGAACAGAGGATTTAAAAATAAAGCCAATCAAAACAGCACGACCAAAAATCATATTATAACCAATTAATAACCACCTTGGTACTATAAGTCGGCCCTGATCTGGGAGGGGTACTCGTATCTCACAATAACATTGCACATTAGCTATTGCTTACAACATATCGTTGTCCCTTGTCTCTGTAAACAAGCAATTTGTACTGATCTCAACATGCGGAATGTGCATGAACTAAGGTGTCTAAAATTCGAAACGCCTGAAATTCTAAGTCTACAAATAACAATTGTGCCTTTATCACCAGACAAATCCATAATCGATCAAACGGCAAACACTACTTTCCAATCCAGAATAACGAGGAAAGATCACCTACTTGCAGCGAGAGGTTTTGTGAGAGCATACTCCTCGAAGGAAGACTCCTCCATCTCTCGGTGATTTGACTGAAAAGGGCGGGCAGATTGACGCTGTTGTTGTAGCCCTAATGTTGTGACTGTCCTCGACCCCCCTGGGTGAGGGGAGGGACTGTGACCTAGATGCGGCAGACTGAGACCCACGCCGGACTCTTGTTGGTCAGCGCGCACTCCGAGACAAGCACGCGTGGAACTACCACCACCGTCATTGGCTAACAATAAAAAGTGAGAAAAAGCGTTGAGAAAAGATGTAGAGATGACTTTGGAGTGAAACCCCGATTAAAAGTTAAACACGACCTCAGAGACAGTACCTGAACACATGCCAGTGGCAATAAAATGTCGATTTGCCCGACTGCTCCTGGAGCTAACTATACCAGAAACATCGACGCATTCACCACCAACCACCATATCGTCTTCTATGTCGTTGCCCTCGCGATCAGAATCACCGCCCCAAGTGGCCATTGCTGTGGCGTCCATACAACTGGTGGACTCGGAGAGTGCACCATTTTTTAGTCTTCCGTTGGTACCTGTCTTGTCTCCTTCCGTATCTCCGGCCGCCGAGTCGATCGGCGCTTGTCGATGCTCTTCACGCCAGATACGTGCCTCCCGCATACTCTTGTACAGGCGCTCTGTGTTATCTAGATAGGTCGCCTCTGGCTCCTACGTACAAAAATGCAGGCATACTATTTTCATCAATAAATTGGTAGATGCAACCTTAGCGCGCCAAGTTGATTGCCTATTACATGCATGATATAGTAAATTTCTTAAAAGCGTGAAATGAACGCAAACACAAACGGAAAAACTTGTAATGACTGAAGTTCTCTAGGACAATGGTAGCAATAATGTAGTTTTGACCCTTCAATCTATCTGAATTAACCAACTACCGATGCAAATGATAGCTTGCCTGAAAAGTAACAGCTTCACATTTCTGAGTGATAACATCACTATCATTATTGACGACAGAGGGGATGTTCTGGGTACTGCGACGAGGAGTTGGCGGATCAGACGGAGGGAAAGAGGTCTGCATAGAGGCTTCAGCACTGGAGAGGTTAGATGTGACAACGCCAGTAGACGAAGTTGCGACGGTGGCTTGAGGCGACTTATGCAGGCGCGGCGGTGTCACCTAATTATCGGAGAAGCGGGGTTGCCGTAAGTGAAGTGATCAAACTACAAACTCAAATTGTTTCTCCTCACTGCAGGGTGGAAACAAACATACTATCCTATACCGCATGACGGTATGACGGATGTTATTAGTCCTCGCAAAAACCATTTCAGCAATTTACAAATAAGGAAAAAACCCAAATAGATGAGATAATGGACTACCCAAACAATAAGCTAACCTTAACTGCAGCACCTGAGGATAGAGGTGCATTGGAAGACAGAGAGAGTTGTGTGCTAACTTCGGAAGCAGTTGAAGTAACCATTCCAGATGACGCTTCATCCCCGTTAGGAAAAGAGAAGGAGCGAAGTTCACCTCTTAGCTCTTCAAGGTGTTCTTTTCGAGCCTGTAGACGTTTCAGGATCGGGAGAGGATCACCCACCGCGGTGTCATTGTCAGACAACCTGAGAGTTTAAAAAGATAAGTTTCTTACCTACACCTCTGCCTAACCAAGGCCGATAGGAGAATAAATAGATTTAGTACCGCCCAGTTTACTCGCTTTGCTACATAATTATGCCATGCGAAAAGTATATTCAAGATGTAATACTTTCTCAGTATGGAGTAATGCCACTAGAGTAAATCCCTTCAGAGTCTAATGAAAAACAGGCACTCTTCTATAAAGAAACCAGGCGACTTGCAGCGCTGAAGCATCCTTTTTACTAGCACGATCGAAGTTGGAGAATGAAGCACTTGAAATAGGTTCTGAAGTGTTTCCACACTCGTTCTTTGGTGATGACGTGCTACCGTTAGCTTCTGAAGCAAAGAAAATTAAGATATAATAGAGGCAATATGAGCTAAAATTTGGAGACTACAGCGGTTAGGTAGGACGTTCTAATAACGGAATTTGTTTCTATCTCCAAAAGTAAAAAAACAGTTTCGATTTCAAAAATAATTTGAAGCACTAACAGTGTCCATAAGGAACCATATTACTTTAATTTGAAAGAGAGCACCTTGGGAAGGAAACGGCTTCAAGTTGGTTTCCCTAGGAAAATAAGTAGCTTGTTAAAGGAAATCATTCTTCGAAAGACCACAGCAAGGGTTTTTCAAAATGTAGCTCTCATTTCGGAAGAGTGCACGTTATGCACGCAGGAGAAAGCCATTTGTGTGAATGCGTGGAGTACCTCATTTACATGAAACCAATGGTTTAGGGCGTATGCGAACGAATTAGGGTTACGTAAATACTGTGGGGAACATCAGAGTTTTTAGAATAGAGGCCTCCAAGATTCCTGTACGAACGATAGGGTAAACGACACGATTGGAGATACTTTCCATAAATCTTCATAGAAGAGCATGGATTAATGTGCTTGATTGAAATATAAAGTAGGTTGCCCCTAAAAGCAGAGGGATCAATAAACGCGAAGAACTAAAAGTCAAATGCCTCTGGAGGAAGTTTCTTATTTTATCAATTGTCACAATAAATAATAGCGATCTACGAACCAGACCCTTCGAGAACAAAGCTAGCAAGAGGAGCTTAGCCGCCCCAAGATCCGGAGTAACCATAAACGCCCCATCGAAGATAAAACATTGAAAAGGTTTACACCTTCTCATCTTACTTGCACGAGCTTCAGCCAATTGATTGAGAAGCGCTTCGCGTTGCTTGCACAACTGTGCTATTGTAAGCTCCATACACTTCTGTTTCTTTGAATAGTCTGGTTCCTCTTCATTGAGCATAACTTCAGCCGCTTGTGAGACCTCAGAGAAAGTCCTGGATTCACTAGGTTCTGAAGCAGCGCAGCAACGTGTTACTAACTTCCAAAAGTACACCTTATTATAAGGCCTCGTTTACCTGGGCTTAGTGTAGGTGGCACTGGATTATTTAACCCAACAGCAGTTTGATCAGCGGATGCGCCATCAGCCTGGAAGTCATTTTGAACAACAACAGATCTTACGTAAATCTCGAAAGCATAGTCCCAGTTCCCAACTATTCATACAGAGTAGCAATAAAGTGACGTTTAAATAACCGCCCAACCGATAAACATATTCACTAGTTCTAACAGGTAGAAAAAGTATTCACTTGCAGAAAGTATCTAGTTTTGGAGAAAGCGAGTGAAATACTTCATTTGCTATTTTTAGAAAAATCATGTTATAAAATTAAATTGGTGAATGATCTATTAATAAAATGCTGAATACAACGCACGCTTGGTTCATGAAGAGTCTTCCTGACGATGCTTGCGACAGTAAAGAAACACTCCTTAGTCACCTCCAGGCTCCTTCCTAAGCTTATTAGGAAACCTCGCAAATCTTTGAGCTAAAAGTAGAAAGCTCAGTTACGAAAAAAAAATGGTGATACATTTGGGATTTGAAAGGTGGACCAAAAACTTAATGCATGCATAGTCATCTGGCCTTTTGTTAAACAACCACAGATCACTAGTACAATTTCTAAACCACCGAAGAGTTAACTAGGCAAATGCCTCGTATGCTCCAGAGTCAACTCATACTACCGATTGAAAGCTGGTGAGTAAAGTGGCCATGCATTATAAAACAAACATATCTCCCAAGATTGAGTGATTTACACCCGACATTACACAACATACAATCTCAGGGGCAGATACGAACAACAATTTTTTTTAAATCGAACAGAATACGACGTTATATAGAAGCGCACCATCAACACTGATACCCAATTTGACGCAATACCAGTAAAGTTACGGCTATATTAGCTGAGATCCTGCCAATTTTAAATAAATTGAGCAGACTGAAAGGCTTTATCATTTCATTTCAATTAGCCAACGAGCATATAAAAAATGTAGAACGAACAACTCACTTGATTGGCTTTGAAATCGTTGGAGGGATCATTACTATTATAGAGGACCTAAAATGCAAATAAGGACAGAATGCATCCTATAAATGGCATGCGGTAGCTTTAATTCATAAAGTTTTTCCTATTATCATATTCTATTACAATAATTTGCACAAAATGGGTGATAACGAACATGGCTTATAAGAAATAATCAACGATCCGAAAGAACACCCTATCGCTGAGTTAGAAAAAATACCATGAAAGTCCGCCTCTTGACCACAAACAAACTCTAGCTTATACGGATCGTAGCGAAAAAGTTTAACATAGGCTAGGAGGAGGTTAGAAGCTGAGTCTGAGAGTCCTAGATTACAAAGACGAAGCCAATGAAACATCAAATAACATCATGCCGGCAAGTACAATTTTTCGATGAAATCCACAATCCAACCTCAGTGACGTAGAAATCCGAAACTTACCGAAACCAAATCCAAGACTAAAGTACAACAAGCTGACACGAAAGCAGAAAAAATATGGAAGTATTACTTACTTCGTAAGTCGATTGTAATGAAAGAAGTCTCAAGTGAACATCCGTGAAGCGCTGACCAACATCGCTCAAAAGATTTACCGCCTCAGTCATATCCTACTCAAAGGAGGGCAAATGACCGAAAATCTCAGCCTACCAGACCAATAACCAGATTTGAAAGGCGACCAACCATCTCCTGAAAACGAGCGATTTGAGATAACATGGACGAAAGCTGGCGCATTTGAGTCTGGAATCAGGAAGGAACAAGGCATCATGGAACTCGAATGGTCTCAAACACGTCGACTCATGTGAAACAATCACAAATCTGCACAAAGCACATCTTAGGCCAAAACATGCTAAATGATACCTAACTATTGAAAAAGAAACCTCTAAGACTTTAAACACAAAGATGGCAAAAGTAGCAATTCAAAATTCGCTTGTGCGGAAATGATAATTAAAAAACACAGGCCACTTAATACCAGTGGGTTGAATTCATTTTGGTGGATAAAAAGAGCATCAAATGGTGACGTACCTCATAATGGAGGCGCCATTGCGATGGCTCAACACTATAGCTATCAGCTAGCTGCTCACCACCTACGGACGCATCAACACTGATAGCCTTACGAGATAGTGAAGAATCGACCGAGAGGTGTAGAGATGAGGAAGACTCGTGATCTCCGCGCGATGGTTTCAAATTCACAGATGGTGATAACGGCTTCAACTCCTAAGATCAACAAAGTCAAAAAATACAAGTCAGTAAGATTCACCCCAATAGCTGACTGTTCCAGGAGCATTTTAATTCTCTCATGTTTGTCACGAAGAGCTTCCAGTTGCGGTTCAAAGTCATTGAGAGGGGAAGTCTAAAGCATTAAGTGACTAACGAATCAAACCTGAAGTGCTTTGTACCTTTCTTTGTATTCTTCAAGTTGACGCACTAAATCCTGAAAACGTTTAATTTGATCATTGGTCTCCTGAATGTAATACTTAAAGTAAATCCAAACAAACTTCAGACTCAGGAAGTCTACGAAGCACAGTTAGCATTGTTTCGCCCTCCTGAATATTCCTCTCTATTTCTGAGAGTTTTTCCGAAATATCCGTCATTCTCGACGTCAATCGAAACTGAGGGAACAGCAAACTCAACACACCACCAAAAGTCGTAATGCGCACCTTCAATTCAAATTGTTTATAAACTGATTAAAGTGAATATTTATAACATTTAATTGAATTCTTGATTTATAGCAAAAAACCTCTAGATGCATTTGAGTTGCATGCAAAGGTAACGTTTATTCACTTTGGAAGTTTAAAAAATACACTTGGAATGTTGGAGCAAATTCTTCTCATTACTATAATTTTAATCAGATACGACATCTTAAAGACCTTATAAGTTTGGTATTTGAGTGTTTAGGCCACTAATACAATAAATTTTTGCAATACATACTAATCGGATGCGGAGTTTGCATGGCCTAGAAGCTGCTTACCAGTTTGTTTTTAAGGTCAGTAATCAAAATACGAAGTATTGCTCATTTCTTCCCTTCCTTAGCTCAACGCTTCCAACGTTACCCTTATGAACGTCCAAAGCTATCCGTCGCAATTCAATCCGTGCCGAAGTGCATCACTCACACGCCAATAATTGGTGATCGACATGCTATTTATCGTTTTTGAGTATGATGTAGAAGCTTTTTAAATGATTATTTTAAAGGATACATGGTAAACCCCCTCTAAGCAATCCTTTATGCAGCCAGACGTTCAGGCGCCCTAAGATATATTGGGGGTTCCACATTTGTGGTGGTATTAGTCGACATCCCCCTTTAAAGAAGACATGGTGTCCGATGACCGACTTCTCTTCACAAAGGTTAATCTTGAGCTTTGCAATGCCGCTCAGTGAGTCTCCTTGCTACTTCATGCTGTACCGTATGACCTATATCACGAGAGGGAACCGCTATATTGTGGTGATGGTAAGCTATTTTACTGAGATTGTTGAAGCTGAACCGTTAGAGATGCAGGAGGCTGAGACAAAGACAACACGACATACATGGAGCAAGGAATTCTGCCGCCTAGTCAATTTTATTTGTCTACGAAATACCTCATCAAGAATGCGGAGAATTTCACCCAGCTTTTAACAGTGCATTTTAATGAGACTAGGCTACAAGAAGGTCCGCTCCCTGTAGGTTAAGATGTCTGTGTGTTGACTGAAGGAGAGGAGTCACCTGACGTTGCTCCAACGACTAGCACCGGCAACGGTGCATGGAAGAGGTGAGGAATCATGTAATATTTATGCTAATGTGTTTTAGTTCCCTTTATAGGGGAGATGCGGTTTTCCAATTACTGCACAATGTTTCCTTGCTTGAGAAAAGTGAGAATCTTTCCGCGGAGTAACGGTGGACCGCCGTTAACCATACGCACACCCTCTTCCTGTCTGTTAAGTATATCTTATAAACCCTTTCCAAGCAATCTCCTTATGAGGCCGAAGGTTCAGGAGCCTAAGGGTAGACTGAGAAATCAAATAATTATAGACTGGAGATTTCAATGGTAGTAGGTTGCTCAGACAAGGCTACAATTTTTTCCTCACAATCTACAACCTCCATTTCAGGATTTTTGAGGGAGGTTTGCTTGGCGACGGTTAATTTGGCATCCTTAAAGGTGTAGAAGCAGGGGGAGAAAGAGTCTGGTAAATAGGTGTCCGAGCTGATCGAAGGAAACGTCCTCACACTCCATCTGCACAGCCTTTGAAATGAATTATCTCCTCTCCTTTACTAAGCACAATTTAAGCAATAAATATGTACCACATATATGATTAGATTTTCCATGTTTTAATCGAGCAATAACCTAATTCAAAGGACTAGGAAGCCTTGATTTAAGCAAGTTAGTGAATGCATCTACACTGTTTCTGTTGGTATTCTCAAAATAGTTTCTGGCTCCCAGAAGGTTGTTAATTGCACAAAGAATAGGCTGAGAGCAGCTGAGAGCGTGGACCAAGCCAACCCAACTGCCTTTATAGCAATGACGAATCTTTAACGTTTCTTAGCATCTGAATTGAAGCCTGACATTTTGTGATCGTTACACTTCATGCTTCTGAACAGTAAAATAGCCGCTATTTTATTCTCGGAGAGCACTGTACGCGACCCGTAGTTTGCCTTGTTTGAATGAACAGGTGATGCATTCCTTGGAGGTTGCGTTCTCACCTTGCAAATGCTTCCGATCAACGTCACTATCCTCCCACCGCACCAGCGCAGAGACCTAGATTTTCATTGAATTGTAACAGCATATATGTATATTTTGCCGTTGATAGAAGGTTTGGGATTGAGAGCCATACCATCAAAAATGAATTGATCACTAGGACTAACGGGCAAAATACTTGTGTAATAATTTTCAACATAGCGTAATTCATGAGTTAACTCCGTTTAAAAGCAGCAGCAATTTATTACAAATCAGGAGATTTTCGCCTACCGTTTCTTTGGGTCTACTGTAAAAGAAAGGCTAGCGGAAATGCTTCAAAATATGCCAATTATTTTATGCTTATGTCTTCGAGCATTAGCTATAACGAGTCTCCACATTTAATCCGCTTGCTTTTCGATGGAAGGGATTTTTATCTGGACAAAATTATTCTAGCGCCAGAAACTTCCCACCACTTAGAAGAGGGCATTAGGTTGGGCTGAGCGCATGTCTTCTAGGAGGATAAGAAGAGACTGAGCCTTGGTCTGAACCCGAGGCCGGTCCACGCGTACAAGGGCAAGACGAATGCCAAGGTCGCCGACAAGCATCACGTGGTCTAACAAATGAAGTATTACAATGATTGCTTCTCCTTTCGACGATGGCATTGTTGTGGTCAACTCGGAGCGTTTTTTAACACCACGGTTTGCATTGTAACTCATTTTCTTGGAGTTCTTATTGAAGAAAACCTTAAAGGAAAATAACTGTTGTGGTGACGCTTTGGCTGAACAGGAGTTCTGGGAAGTGCATGAGGAGGACACTTTGAAATTGACATCTTTCAATGTCTTTTACAAACTTTTTTTGCAGCGCATATGACCAATACAAAAAAACAGCACGACCAAACAATACACAAAGAGTGCATTTGATTGCTCGAAAGCAAAGACTTAATGGACAGTTAGTCCATCTTTTGATGGTAATAGAAAGATAAGCAAGTTGGTATTAGTTAAAAACAAAGCATTTTCATGTAACTTCAATTTTTTCGGTACTTGTTTCGCATTTCCACTAAAATCAAACAAATTAAGGCCCTCACCATAACCATGTCGTAAGTATTTGCATCACCATTCGAGCATAGTGTGGATTTTATTAAAACCTCCAACTCCCAGTAACCTGGCATCTGGTCGGTGCTGACGTCAATGAGTAGTATTCAAAAAGTTAAACATTGTTAAAATTTCCGTAGTTTAAGGGAAAGAGAAAATATGTTGAGGTGAATACCAACTCAAGCTTGACAAGTTTGCTTTGTTTGCTAATAGCGTTTTTTTCTGGTATATGCAAAATAGGGACGTTAGAAAATGAAAATAGTTTGAAGTGTTGCGTGAGTTTATACCATATTTCCGTGGTTCTTGGTTAAAAAATAATGCGTTTTCAAATGGGTCATTGCGTATGCTGCCTACTTTTATCCTTTATTTTCTAATCATGTCTGCTCATCCGTCATCAGAGCTTCATAGCCTCACCACTGCACTGCATAAATCACCTCAGAAGTGTGATGAGATGAATAAGGAGTTCCGCCGAAATGTTTGGACACTTTGTCTGCTAATCCATACATCCAGAAAAACAGATTAGCCGTATACTTAAGACTCGGGACTTCATTTCGTCTGACCATGTAGTCGCGAAGAAATCTTGCTGCTCATATAGCCCAATACCATTTAAGTGGCTGCAAGAAGCCATACACGGCCATTTTTAAACTTTTAACTCGCCATGAATACTGCTCAATTAATTTTATTTCCCCACGATTCTTACCAATGTGGCAATCGCTGAGCTTGCCTTGATCCTAAAAAATACCAACCTTTTTACAATATACAAGGAGTGAGAAGGTTAGTGTCCACTTCTGTGCAAATTAACTCGATTCATTAACACCGAACGGCACAACCAGTGCAGTCTAGTGTCTCCATATTCAGAACAAGTGAGTGAAATGACATCCCACCATAGAGTAGAGGTGAGCCTTAACCAAAATTCCCAAACATGCGTAAGTGGGGTAGATAAAACGCATTGTCGATAAACCTGATCTCTACTTAGGCGGACAAGCATAGTAATTTGGACTGAGCAAAGTTACAAATTTGGTCCCGCATTTTAATTCATTATTAGACCATACGCAATGGATGATATAATATGTATACATGATTTCGTTGAGAAAAGCTTAGTTCAGTTTGTAATGCTTTGTTTATGTGACTACCTGACGCCCAGCGGTCACTTTAAGATTTGTCTGGCCCTTGTACTTGGGGTAGGACTTCGGGTCATGCTCAGGCTGCACAGATGAAGATTGCTTTCAAAATGTTATGCGTACCCATTTCAAAAAAGATGTGTGTAGCGTCCAGAGACTTCCCGGCGGGTGAAGCCGAATACATGCCTTCTATAGAGGACAGAGCAAATTGACCTGAGCATGTCCCAAAGGCCAACCCACGAATGCAAGGGCCGGACAATTCCTAGAGTGGCCGCCAAATGTCATATGTTCATCCAAACAAAGCATTGCAATGTGGTTAATATTTTATTTATTTGAATCATAGGCACTTATTCATTATCTCTCTGCCAACTACCGAAATGGCATCATTTCGGCCGCCAGAAATTAAAAATGTGACGCAACAACCAGGTGTCCGACAGTTACTTTGATAGTTGCCTGCTCTTGTGCTTGCGGTCCAGCATTCCAGTCAACCCAAGAGTCCATCCCTTCTTCTCATACAATATATGCATTCAGTCACCTAGCCAATGCGAACACTCGTGATGCTCAAGTATAAACGTATTTTTCAATGAATACCTTAAAGAACCACCGCAGCACCCCATTCGGGCCATATATATGTAACACGCACCAGTGCGCATAAATCTGCCTTTGTAGAGGAGAGGCGGGAAGTCAATTCGAGAACGAATCCGGTGCGTGAGGATCACGAGGATTCCCTCTGCGGGTGACATCTGCTTTCCGACTCATCTATACTCCCTGTTTCTCTTCCTACCGTGTGCAATGCCAAATAAAGCTACTGCGGCTAAACCTCCCCTGAAGTCCGAGGTTCAAGGGCATGAGGGTAGGAAGGCAGGTTCTACAGTATATTCCAAGCACAATATAGTGGAAAGCCAACAAATCCGATGGATTGTGTTTAACCTGTCGCTGCAATCGCATTTCAAGGCTAAAAGTAAAAAAGAAAAACTATATTAAAAACGTCAGTCAGCATGCTTGCAAAGCAGGAAAGCTGCTGTAGCGTTCTGAAACTTTCCACATGGTAGAGGAAGGTGTAGGAACTGCCTGCTTAACCTCATACCCTTGAACCTCGGACTTCAGGGGAGGGTTAGTTTCAGCAGGTTTATTGGGCATTGGACTCAAGAAGAATGAGGATAGGAGCACAGATGAGCCGAATAGCCGATATCACCCGGAGAGGGATTCCTCACGGTCCTCGCGCACGTGATTCGCGTTCCAATTCCGGTTCGCGCCTCTCTCCCATCAAGGTCAACTTAAACACTCCAGTATATATTACACAGCCCTCCTCTTTCAAGCACTTTCCCCGGTGCTGACCAGTAGAGTTCCGTCAGGTGTCTGCCCTTTTCTGCCAACGTATAGATTTCGTCTTCGTAACCTACTGGGGGCACAACCGTATACGGCCTAATCTTGTTATGCTGTACTGTCAGAGGCCGAGTAGCGATCTCCGCATTCCGAATGAGATAATTTGTGGGCGACAGAACCTTGATTATCCGGTAGGATTCCTTGCTCCAGGGATGATAGAATTTCCGATGGGTTCCTGGCGAGGGAACCCATCGGACGTTTGTTCGGCTCTGCTTTCTTCAGCTATCTGCGCGCGGTATCAAACACTTTCCTGAGGTTTTCCTTTATCTCAAGACATACTGAGGTGCGTTATCCACTGACGGTTTCCTACGAGAGAGCGAAATGTCAGAAGGGACTCTCATTTCACGGCCCGTTAGCATCTTGAATGGTGAGGTGTGAGCGTAGACCTGGTAGGCGAGGAGAGTCCGTCCTAGGTATAGATCCCAATCCTTGGGCTGAACCTATTCGGTAAAGGCCCTCAATAAGTCGAAATGAGTACGAGTTTTCTCTATACTTGCCCATCGTCCTGATGATGGCCCGGCGTCGTACGCGTCTTACGGATTCCAAAGGCATTGCACAGCTTTTTGAAGAGACAACTTTTAAACTTCGCCCCTTGGTCGCTATGTGTACAATCAGGCACACCATATTAGCAAATTCAGCGATTGAAGAATTCGGTTGCTACTGTCTCAGCTCGGCTTCCGCGACTTTGGTGAAATAGTCTACCATCACCAAAATACAACGATTCCCTCTCGGAGTCGTGGGAAGCTGGCCTATGATAGCTATGCCTACTCGCTCCCCTGGAAAGCCTGTGGACATCGGATGTAGAGGGTCACCGCCATGCGGGTTGAGTTCTTTAAGCTGGTGCACGTAATGCATGCGCGACAAAAATCGGAGACATCCGATGACAGCGAGTCATCAATACTTCTTCCATGCGACGTCAAGCATATTCCTGTCCCCACATGGCCAAGTTGCTCCTACAATTCCAACAACGATGTCTGCATAAAGGAACCTGGTACTACAAGGCGTTTAGGACCTGCCGCATTATCGTCTTTGTACCATATGACGTCATCTTCTAGGGAGAGTTTTTCCCAGTTCTGCCATATTTGCTTGGCTCTCTTACTCGCTGGACACATCTCCTCAACTGTGGACTCGGCTGAGGATGTCCTTAGTCTTTCATAAACTAAAGCTGTATCGAGGTCGGCGCTCTGCGTGTTTCTTCAGTGATGGAAAGTAAGCTCGCTCAATATCAGCGCATCTACTATGACTATGTTTTTTCGTCCAAGTTTCACGCCCTCTTAGGAGAACATTTGTAAGTAAATATTCCTTCCTCTCAGCCACAGCAACTTGTTTTAGGTGAGCGTAGAGATCGTTCAGATTGGTCCCGAGGACGGCAAGAGCGACGAAAAGGGATCTGCATGTATCATCAGCATCTTTCTTTGGCTTAGGGATCGAATGCTTCTTCTTGGGCCTTCGATGGGTTGTGAGCATGCCTGTATCGAAGTCCATAGTCGCTTGGGACTGGCTCAAGAAGTCGGCTCCTAGCAGTACATCCCAGGCATGTTTTGGACCTAGCACAGAATTCACCTTCCAGCTATCCTTCCCAATTGAGACTCTGATAGATGCTTCTCCTATGACCGAGGTTTCTTTTTTTCTGCAGAGCGTAGTATTGCAGCCGGTGGGGTAATACTAACCTTGCTGCAAACCATTGGGAAGGCTTATGGGGTTAGTAGGGAACGGGCTGCTCCAGAGTCCATAAGGAAAAGCTTATGTGACCTCGTATCTTGCCTTATACACGCATAAAAGTAGAAGATCATGGGGAAAGCAGACACGACAAAGAACTGACTTAGTTTGTACGGAGGGGGCGGTTCGGGGCGCGTGCTTTTGCCTGCCGGTAGTTGGCCGTCTTTTGGGAGTCCACGAGCAAAATCGAGTGTTGAGAATTTGAGCTTTTGACGCTTGGAGACTACCGCGTTGATGAGTCGGCCCAATCTGCTGATTCTCAACTTCACCAGATGTTCTGCTAAGGCAGGTGGACACACACCCCTTTTGAATTGGGCCGCTAACCATGAGACAACCAGCAGGGAACAGCAATCCTTAAATGCCTGTCTGGCTAATAACTGGAGATTTCCCACGAAGTCTTCATTACTCTCTTCAGGTTTTTTTAGCCGGTGGGAAAAGAATGAAACTAATAATTCTTCCTTCTGAAGGGACGTCACTTTGACAAGAACTTCGCAGCACTATTCTATATTCGATAAAGCGTGATATCCGCATCCAATGCTTAGCGACGTAGGTCGTAGGGCAAGGCGCGAAGGAGCAATGGCACTCCCCGTGCCTTCTTTGTGGGGAGGGATGTATTCCACCGCTGCCACCAGTGTAGGAACTGCCTGCCTACCCTCATGCTCTTGAACCATGGACTCCAAGAAAGAGTTAATTGCAGCAGGTTTATTAGGCATTGGATACAGGGAGAATGGGGATAGGAGAATCGATGAGCCGAATGGCTGATATCATCCGGAGGGGGACACCTCAAATCCCCCTCCAATACCAGTTCGCGCCTCGCCCCTATTAAGGTCAACTTAAACACTCTAGTATATATTACAGAAGGTACCAAGTAGAGTCGAGTACATACATTCTAAAGCGAGCAAACGGATTAAGCCTCAGCTTGGCCCTAAGGTCGGCCAAAGTGAACCAGGACCAAGCGAATCGAAAGCGATCGCCAGACATCAGATGGTCACTTAGATAGGGTAATGCAGCGTAAATATCTTATTAATGATATGACTTCATGGCTTTTTTACAAAGCGAAGTGTTGAAGTTCAGTCTTTCTTTATAGTTTAGTAGCGACTACACTAAACATGCTGGTGCATAAATACAATTTAACGCCTAATGTCAATAAATTTCGAGTTAGCTTCTTCATTATACGCTCTTGATGTAATTTGTCTTTCAATAACTCATTACACAAAGTGTGATAATTGAACATCGTTTTAGTTTGTTGCCTTCACCAGCACTCTTACGCTGCTGCTCTTAATTGTGTGTTAACATGGGCAACGTCTTCCTCCTTTGTGCTATACTATTCGTCACAATTTCCGCTGTACGCTGCTTTTTTTTCACTGTGACATAGTAGGAGGACGATTTACCACTTCAAAATATAGTGATTGAGCATTCCTTCGACGAAGGTAGTTCATTGCCCGTTTCCGAGTAGATTCTATCCTTGTAAACGTGCTTGAGTTGTTTGAAACTACTATTTTTCGGTGCAATCGATAAAGTCTTTTATGTCGCGACGTTATTATTACTTTGTCATGCATCGTGGCTATTGGCAATTGGCAACTGATTGCCCATTGTTAGGGAAGTCGTTTAAATCAAAAGGCACTGTTTCTTCTGGATCGATCAAAGGGAGATCTCATTTGCTGAAAGAGCCTTCGCTTACACTTGATGACCAAAGGTCCCTTCAAGTATGGTGTGTTCGCCGTCAAAATTTTAGAATTTGGCATTTGGTGACTCTCTTTATATTGTTCGCGCCTACACGAATTCAAATTCTTCTGTTCTCACAGGATCCTGTCAAGCTGTAAGTTATATGGTTCAGTGAATTGCGGTTACGGGTATTGGCTATTGTTTTCCCCTTTTACAGCTTCATATCATCGCATCCGATGGACAAATGTCCTTAATTCTAAACGTTGATGTTTCGGGTTCGCTAATTGCTCTGTCAGTCGTTGCAAATAATCAGACACCTTATGTTGGTATATGCTGTTCTACCTCCCCGGCGGTGCTATCTACGATGGTATCCCTTCGAAAGCCCTCTTTTTCCGTCGGGTGCGTATGTTCTTTCCTAACTTTTTTCTCTTCCAGACCCGACACACAGGAATATCTTGCAAAAATGGACAGACGGCGTGAAGAGAAGCTTCGACAAGACCAGGCTGATAACCGGTCCTTTCTCTCGAAATATGTAAGTATTTTAATTGCTTTGCCCTTTTTATTTCTCATGGTGCTTCCAGAATTGTCTCCTTTCATTATTTTTGTAGCTTTTCTATTAGTACAACATTTAATTGTTTTCAGCTGTTGTAATCACCGTCCTTATTATTTTAGTGGATGTACATTCTACCGGCCGTCTTCTTTTTCATCTTGCTTAACTCAGCTGAACAGAATACAGGTGGAAATTCTGAATGAAACACTTGTTTATGTTTATCGTCTGGAACTTAATTTTGTTGACCCTTTATTCAAGCTTCGTGTTTGTTCAAGCATTCAATGCGCTGTAACTGTAGTGCCAGTATCGGGACATGTCTATTAGCAGTTTTTTTGGTTTTGTAGTGTTTAGAATTTAAGTAAGTGCCTGAGTTCTTCTAATTATTACTCAGTAACTTGACACTTAGAGTAATGTATCAGTTTTCTTTCGGTGCGTTTGAAGTCTTCTTCTTGGACCTCCGTATGAGACGCTCAGTACATGCTTTGCTATAAGTACAACAAGGATTAATGTGAAAGTGTGCTAAGGGTAGATTAACGGTAGGCAAGATGGCATGCTTAGCACATAGGGTTTGGGGATGAGGACTTTGCGTGGATTCCCGCTTGGTTCTTCATTCTTAAGGGTTTTGACGCTGATTATTGTGTTATATTTTTGAGGATACCGCTGGTGAGGATGATCCTCCATGAATTCGGGGTGACTCTGTAGTCCTGAGTGTCATGGTGGTGCACCAAAATTAGTAATAAAACTACTACTGGGTTTAGATTGGCGAATTCATCGGCTTCGAGCTACTTTTGTGGTTTCCTGCAGCTTCAAGAACGATCGTGATGGGTCGTGAGTTCGCTTCACAAGCATAATCTAGTGTAAAGTCGTTCAATGATCTCGTATTTCAGAGTGGATGCAGTGGAATCCGGAGTACTTCCTTCACTACTGTTAAATTAATATTAGGGGGGGGGGG